AATACTACTCAGATGGTGGTGGATACCCCCACTGGTTAGAGAAGCCATTAGGATCCATGATTCAGATCTGCACCAACAAAAACAAAAACACCCAAGTGAAAAGCAAGGGTGGAAAAAACGCTAAAGTAACAAACTTCTGCCTTTCCTAATAATCTAGAAAGTCCCCGGCAACGGCGCCAAAAACTTGACACGCTAAAACACAACACCTAACAATGGCCAAGTGTAACCAATGAAAGGGATTGCAGTATAGTGGCGCAAGTAATAAATATCGAATCCACGGGTCTATAGAGTTACTATTACTCAGCTTCAGTTCATTATCTAGCAAACTAGATTAAGGATTGATTTACTAAACTACTCTACTAAGTACTCTACTAATTACAAGTTGGGAACTCACTTAGGTATGATTCTCCCTAGCTCCTCAATTAGGTCCAAGTTTCAATTACCTTTGGTTGATCTACTGTTGATTAAACTGCAGAAGATCCTAAATTAGCTTGGAATCTCTTAAGTTGACCAAGCCCTCTTAGACAGAATACCCGGCAGGTGACTAGCCTTCACCTGGATAGACTGCTAAGGCGATTCACACAGATCTCCACTACTGGAATAAATTCCAGTACAAAGCAGTGAATTGATTGACTCTCGCACAAGCAATTAACCACTATCAATCAAGGAAGCTCTCTTAACCTAATCAGATTCTATCTATCATAGGTTAAAGCAGAAATCAAGAGAAGATGATCAGGCTTCAATTGACTCGATAAATCATGCCTCAATCGATTATAATCTTACAATATAGCATCGAAAACTTCATACAAGAAAGATCCTAACACATGGAACTAGGGTTCCTCAAAACCTAAGTGAAGGAAAGTTACTCCATAGAGAAGAGAGAGACTGCAGAAATCTGATCTAGATCTTCAATCTCCATCTCCAAGCTTGATTCCCGAGCTCCAATGGCGAAGAAATCCTCCAAAATAGCTCCAAGAATGTTCCCAAGTCGCTCTCTCTCTCTAGGGTTTGTCCCTTGGATGTTTGGGAACCAAAACCGAGCTCCCCCTTTCCTTTGGCTCGAATCTGCCTCAAAAACCCGATTATGGGCAAAATACGGCAGAAATACGGTCGTAATTCTTCCATGCCCGTATTTTGCACAAAACACGCGTTTTAGTTAAGTTTCAGCGCATCCAAAGCTCCTCTCGGCAGTGAAAATACGGGCATGGGAGGGGAAAATACGGTTGTAATTGTCCTGCCCGTATTTTTCCTCCGCTCCTGTTTAATGCTTGGTTTCTCTCTCGTTCGGACTCCTAATCAGTCGTCGTTTGATCCCAGACGCTCGTAGTCTCGTCCTCTATCTTTTCATGACAAGATTCCATGATTATTTGTCCATAATATGAGGTAGAAGTCTATTCTTCCTCAGGTCATGCTCGTGTTTCTTCTCCCGAATTGCCAAATGATCTCCGATTGACTTGAAACTTGCGCCTATGCTTCAATTTACATGATAGGACCTGAAATGTGACAAAGGAACACAACCTAGCATAAAATAGTCAAAGAAAGCAAAAACTCAAGCCAAAATGATCAAGAAACGAGGGTGCAAACATGTGCAAATATGACGTTATCACCTCATTATGGTTGAAATCAGCCTTGAGATTTTGCATAATGCACGGAGTCAGCCTTGAGATTTTGCACCACCTCTAACTTGTGGCGCGAGCAAAAAGATACATTCGTTTGAAATTTCCACTTAGGTTAGGATTTATAGGGAAAAAGGACCAAAATTTCCACTTAGGTTAGGATTTATAGGGAAAAAGGACCAAGCCGCTAGGAGGGGCAGCGGTTTTGAGAAAGGGTGATATTTTTGGAAATTTTCAGAATTGGATGATATTTTTTTAATTGTTTTAAACAGTGGTATTTCTGTGAAAAATCGCAAAAAAGTTATGTGTCTATGTTTTAGTTCTCATTTTATGTGTCAATTGCTTCTTTAGTTGAATTTACAAGTATCCCTTAGCAGTCTATGGAAAGTCGTTTTGAAAAAAAAAATGTATGGAAAATCGTCTTCTCCTTCCTTTCTTTATTATACCGATCGAGTAGGAAGTCCATCAAAAAGCTTTTTTTATTATTGTAAAAAGGTTAGATATGTGGAAAAAAAGTCTAAGAGATTAATACTTATGAAACTAAGAATTAGTAAGAGATTACTTGTTGTTATAGTTTGGGGTTTAAATCAGGGATAACACCATTTACGAATTCGATGTTTAGTAAATTTTAATTTATATATTAAATTTCCATAAATATAATTATATACCAAATTATGGGGTCATTGACATTTTTGTTGAGTTTTTTTACTGGCAGAATAAATAGTGGATCAACGGAGGTCAAAGTATGTTTGACAACGATTATGTGACGCCTACATGTTTTTCAGTGTAAGTTACATATCGGCAATCAACACGTAGGCTATTGATTACTAACAGTTAATTTTAACGAATTAGAAACTGCATAATGCAAGTGTCATATTGAAAGGAATGAAATATATATGACAATTTCACGAAAGATCAATATTTATTTTAATGGTATTACCAACTACCTATGCTTCTAGAGTTGTATAATAATTAGCTACCTACGCTTCTAGAGGATCATAATATGAATATAAGAATATGACGGAGATGAATGGCATCATGTAGACCATTGTTAACGTGTATAATATAGGTCCACTGTTAATTGACTCCTATAATAGTCCAAAAACTCTTTTCTAGTGCTAGGTAAGTGTGGAAAATGAATTTGATCGGATCTATACAAGGAGAGTGTGACTACTTAATCAATAGATGTACTTACGGTGTATAATAGCTATTTAAAAAAAAACCTATATACAGTGATACCAATTAGGAGGAAAATAAAGTTAATAGTAAGAAGGTAAAAACTAGTGCCATCGGTTCAATAATACTAAGGACAATACATCTACCCATAAAAACAGAATCAATCCAAGTTATCAGTTTATGAAATTCGCTTCGAATTTAGTGAATTCTGTCTTGACAATGCCTCCTTAAGTGCATACAATAACTGCTAGAGGCATGATGATGAATTTGTTATGATATCGTTTTATATGTTTTTTTGGAATACAATTTGTGTCAAGTCAAGCGTGACAAATTATTAGATGATGAAGTGTGAAGAGTGATCTCATAGTGATACATTACTGGATTTATTTAACTGGTGGATTTATTACATGATGAAGCGTGACTATCAGAATCGCTTCGGTTGGAGGTACGAAGACTTCGAAATGGGTGGCGAAAGATGCAGCTGACTCAAAGGGTGGAATTCAAATCTTTTGGGAACCATCTCAATACACGCTGATTGATGTTTGTGAATGTACCTATTCCTTCATTGTTAGGCTTCAGTCAGTTGATGCTAATAAAATTTTTGTTCTGATGGTGGTGTATGGACCGCAAGAAAAGGATGATAAACTGGCTTTCATCAATGATCTGAACCTGGTGTGCCAAAGGTACACAAAATCTTTATGTATTATAGGTGATTGAAACCTAGTTCGCTCTCATGAGGATTACAGAGGAGGCCCTAGAAACAATCAAGTAATGGCTGAGTTCAACAACCTTATCACATCAAATAACCTGAGTGACCTTCCCTTAAAAGGTGCACTGTTTACATGGAGCAATGGAGGCAGCCCAAGCATCTTTGTCCCATATTGACAGAGCATTAGTGAACCCCAGTTTTGAAGAAGAGGTTGAACCAGGGCCATTGGTAGCACTTCAGAGGGTAGAATCAGATCATAATCCTATTGTGCTTCAGTGGGGGAGCTCTAGAGAGATTAAATCCACCGTGGATTGGATCAGGACTCTTGTTTAAATGTAGCCAAAAATGGAGGGTTACGAAACAGCTAATTAAAGATTAGAATGTAGAATGTTTTGGCAGAATTGACAGGAAAGTGCCAGATTTGTTAATGCATATCAAAATCCTCGTTTGGCACGAAGTATAGCGTTAGTGACATTTCTGGCCCAAGTTTTCAAATAAGACATCTCTGGCCCACTTTTCAAATTATCGGACGAATTTGGCATGTGCGACGGGTTGACTGTCAGATTTGACGGTCAACAATGTTCTCCGTTGCTTACTCAGCATTGGACTCTGACGTGGCTTCTCCACGTCATTTATTTTTATTTCCCCTTTTATATCCATTTCTAATTCAGTAAGTTAAAAAAAAAAAAAACAAAACTAAAGGGAAAGGTGGAGACCACACACCCCATCTCTTTCCATTCTCCCTTCTTCCCCCGATACCCCACCCCCTCGTATCCCCTTCTCCGCCGCCGCCAATCCGACCCAAATCGCCGCCACCAATCCGACCCAAATCGGAGTGCATGGCACTTGAAACCCCACCGACCTTCTTCCTCCTGTGAAACCCCATCCATCATCGGCTCGTATCCCCCTCCCATTACCTTCTTCCTCCTGTGAAACCGCCGACAGATCGACTCACCGCCAACAGATTCGAGAGGGCGGCCGGCCGGCCCTTTCTTGGCCGCGCCGCGTCGTTTCTTTTCTCTTCTTTGCCGGTCCTTTCTTGGCCGGCCCTTTCTTGGCCGAGCATCATAACTTCACGGCGGAGGAATTTCACGGCGGCGGGATTTATTTCTTTTCCCTCTCCTGTCTTCGGCCGGCGATAAACTGGTCTTCGATCAGCCTTTTCCCTCTCCTGTCTTCGGCAGTCGAGCAAGGAGCCACTTCAGATACGACATTGCATTCTAGAGCTGAAACAGGTAATATTTGAATGTTGTTTTCTACACTTTATTATATTGGAATCGAATTTGGGAAAGTGCAGAAGTGAATAAACAATCTCCCTTTTTGTTTCTTTTCTGTTTTGGGATTCTGAGAACTCGGTAAAGAATACCAAAGTGCTTGTTTGTATGTGAATAAACAATGTCCTGTTTCGGTAAAGAATACTAAAGTGCTTGTTTGTATGTGACCCATTTTTTGCCCAATTTTGCAGGATGAGTATCGACTTTTTATTTCATCATGGGGGAATGATGGATACAGCTACTGAGGTACCGATATATGTTGGAGGGGATGTCGACCGGGTTCAGCTGCTTCTTGATCAAATGTCATATTTTGAGTTGGTGAGTACATTGATCGAGGATTTAGACTATTCGTCGGTGGAAAGGGTGTGGTATTTGACTCCGGGACAAAGTATGGAACATGGGCTGCACGAGATACGCACTGATGCCGACGTTATTAATGGTCTACTTGTGGATGCCGAGCTCGGAGAGGTGTCTTTGTTTTTTGAAGCAACTAAGTTCATTCATGAGATGGGAGACAACTATGGGCATAGTGAGGAGGTTGAAGATGAGGAGGGTGACAACTCTGCTGTAGCCGAGTTCGTCCGGATAGATGAAGACGATGCTCAAACGTCGGATGAGGAATATCATGAAATACAGGCCCGTTATCGTCGCATGCTACAGAGGTCTAGGCTGGAGGAGACTGCATCGAGGGAAGAAGTTGATCAGTTGTTTGTAGACCCCAATGAGGTGAACGAGCCTGTTCAACCTAGTGTGAATGTCGATGAAGAGGCAGCCGATGGACATGGAGAGGAGGTTCAACAAAGTGGTGATATGGGTGATGATGAAGCTCAAGGGTCTGAGGCAACAGTCTATAGGGGTTCTGAAAACTCAGATCATGTTCGTGGCAACATTGGCGAGGAAGAGGAAGTGTCCATGATCGACAAGTGTCGGTTTTATGATCCCAAATGTGATCATAAGACATTGTTGATCACTACACATATGAGGTTTGCTAGTCCTGAGCAGTTTAAAGAGGCCATTACAAGACATTCCATTGAGATTGGTGCTGATATACGATGGGTACGCAGTAGTCAGAAGAAAAAAGAGGTTGTTTGTGCCCAAAACTGTGGCTGGAGGGTGTATGCTTCTTGGTATGGGAAGAGAGAGACCTTTATTGTCAAGGGTGTTGGGACACCACATGACTGCCCTCGTTCTTTTCGCAATCGTGGTGCTACTGCCAAGTGGATAGCTACTGAATATCTTGAGAGGTTTAGGGTGGACCAAGATTGGAATGTGAATTTGATGGCAGCTGAGATAAAGCAGAAGCACAACCTGGACGTGACACGAAAAGCTTGCTACCGAGCTCGCATAGAAGCAAGGCGCATTCTCCATGGCACGTTGCAAGAAGATTTTCATCGGATGCGTTCATATGTAGGGCATCTTCAAAAAGTCGACCCGGATGGAACATTTCTTCTGGAGGTTGATTTGGAGCCTGAATCCGAGAAGGTCTACTTCAAGCGTTTTTATGTGGGCTTTTCAAGCTTGTCTCGAGGGTTCTTAGAAGGTTGTAGGCCTTTCTTTTGCCTTGATGGCTGCTTCTTGAAAGGGGAAGTTAAGGGCATGCTACTTAGTGCAGTTGGAAAGGATGGAAACAATCACATGTACCCGATAGCGTGGGCAGTTGTCGAGTCTGAGAACGGGAGCTCATGGACATGGTTTATTCAAACATTGAAAGAACAATTGCATATTGTGGATGGAAACTGTTGGACTATTGTTAGCGATCAACAAAAGGTAAGCTTACTACTTGAATTTGACTACTGGGAACAATTCAACTGATTTTATTTACATATTGTCTTTGTTTGACTATTCTGCTGATTTTCTAACTGTTGGTAGGGTTTGGTGGATGCTATCCATGAGTGCTTGCCGCATGCAGAGCATAGGAAGTGTGCTCGCCATGTGCATGCACACTTTAAGGCTAAACACAGATTTGATATGGCTACCACACTGTATTGGGAAGCAGTCTACTCCACCAACGAGCCTGATTGGAAAGCTGCCACTGCCAAGTTGAAGGATCTTGGAGGGACTGTGTATCAGGACTTTATGGCCATGGAACCAGAGAGATTCTGTTGAGTATTCATGAAGACTCATTCAAAGTGTGGATCTGTGGAGAGCAATGTGTGTGAGTCTTTTAATAATTGGATCATGAAGTTCCGAGTGCTTAGGGTACTTGCTATGCTTGAGGGAATCAGGGTGGCTGTGATGACTCGGTTGGTGAGCAACAAAAGGAAGATGGGTCTTTGTAAGGGACCATTTCCTCCGGTTGTGAAGAGTAAGCTTGAAAAGCATAAGGATGAAGCTAGGATGTGTACTAGTCGTCCATCTTCAGCTCACAAACACGAGGTGCAGATACATGGGAAAGGGTATGTTGTTGACTTACACACTCGTACATGCACATGTGGATATTGGGGACTTTATGGAATTCCTTGCTGCCACGCTGTTTCAGCCATTCGTTCTATGAGATTTAATCCTGAGGCGTATGTGCATCGGTACTTGCAACTGGAATATGTGAAAAATTCATACAAGTATCCAATTCCAGCTTCAGAAGGACCTCAAGCTTGGCTGCCCGTGGAAGGGTACAAAATCTACCCACCAAAGATGAGGAAACTTCCTGGGCGCCCAAAGAAGAATCGAAGGAAGGAGGCCGCCGAGCTGATCACGAAGAATGCTAAAAATGGTAATGGTGTGGTTGCTACTAGGCATCATAGTATAGTCCATTGCAAGAGGTGTGGGGGTGAAGGTCACAACAGGAGGAGCTGCACAAATCCACCAGCACCACAACCAGCTCCACCGCCTAGTAAAAGGCAAAAACGAGGTGGAAACAATGGAGGTGCTGCCCCACCGAATGCACCGGTTGCAGCTGAAAATGGGGTAAGTCAATTTCCACTATCCTTCTCAATATTTTATTTGTTACTTGAATACTTATATCTAAAATCGATTATCTTTCAGCAGCCAAGAAGAAGAAGGCCTCATTGTTCGAGATGTGGGGCAGCTAATCACAACTCGAGAACTTGTCCGTTGAGGGTTGGAGTTCAAGTAAGGTTTGAGCATGGTCTTTGTAAACTGCAATCTTGAGCATGCAACTTATTATGTCTTCATTTTTATGTTACAGATTGAAAGCATGGGTACTTGTAGCAGGCAACAAATGGAACGGGAAGTGCGGAGGGCTGCACAAGGAATCAGTGTTTACATTGATCCCACTTCTGGAAACATGTATTCTCGGGTTAGCATCTCTTTTTTAAAACTCGATGTGGCCTGAAGATTGCCTTCTTAGGTGAAGATAATGCTAATTGTTGCCTGATATTGCAGATGAGTACTAGAGATCCACAACAAGGAGGTAGGAGGGGACCGGATGAACCAGATCATCCGCCCATGAACAGTACTCAACCTCCATCGACTCAACCCGAGACACAGTAAACAAGCAACGGTGGATATGATGAACCAAGAAAAGGACATCTCCCTTCTTTTGTATTTTGAACATGTAATAGGCATGTGTTAGGGAATGTCTAGACTCGCGTATGGACATGGTTTATGCTCTTTTCAGGTTATGGAACATGGTTTACTGAACATGGTTTATGCTGTTTTCAGACTAGGATTTGTGTAGTTGTGTTCTCATGAACTTGTTTCCAGGTTATATCACCTTGTGTTCATGCTGAATTCAGGTTATGAAAGTGGAGATTTGTGTTCATGAACTTGTTTCCAGGTTATGGTATCTACAGGCAAACGAACTACAGCTTCAATGGATTACAAGCAAACAAACTTTAACTTCAATGCATTACAATCTAAAAAAGTTTACCTTCAATACATTACAAGCTAACACGACAACTACTGCCATCAAACTTGCTCAACTTGAATCTAACTCGACAACTACTGCAGTACACACGTTTTACCCACGTAGGAGCCAACTAACAGAGTATAAAACACACAGAAAACCAATACCGATATAACAATGATTCACCCTACTCTGAAGTTTACAAACAGTATGCCCCAAATTCTCCAATTCAAGACAGCTTCGAGCACTTGTAGCAGCAAATTTTTCAAACTCTTCGGCCATATCAAACTTTTTTTCCTTCCTCTTCTCAACCTTCTCTTCAACATCACTAATACGACATTCAATTCCTTGAGTTAAAGTGACAATCTCAGCTTCCATCTCACAGATTCTCGATTTCAACAGAGCATTCTCCTCCATAAAAGATTCAAGCACACTTGAATTTGCTGATGTTCTCCGATCACACCACTTAAAATGACGACAACCTTCCTTAGCATCCTACATTAAGGAACTTGATTAAATTTAAAGAAGAATACCATTTTGGGAAAAACTGAGACATCGGAAAACATACCTGCCAATACGGGCAGGAATAGAACATTCTCCCCGGATTGTCCTCTGTTCTAGACATCTGCACAATACATGGAACATTGTGCTTGCACCTCTCGATGGGTGTGGTTGTAGAACTCGAACCGGCTGAACTTCCCCCTCCCCTCCTTTTAGCAGATGACATTGTGCTTGCTTCCTCTCGATGGGTTGGCGACGAAGAGGAAGAAGATTGGAGAGGGAAGGAGACGAAGGAGGAAGGAGACGAAGAAGAAGAAGATTTGAGAGGGAAGGAGACGAAGGAGGAAGGAGACGAAGAAGAAGAAGAAGATTTGGGTCGGATTGGCGGCGGCGGAGAAGGGGATACGAGGGGGTGGGGTATCGGGGGAAGAAGGGAGAATGGAAAGAGATGGGGTGTGTGGTCTCCACCTTTCCCTTTAGTTTTGTTTTGTTTTTTTTTTTTTTAACTTACTGAGTTAGAAATGGATATAAAAGGGGAAATAAAAATAAATGACGTGGAGAAGCCACGTCAGAGTCCAATGCTGAGTAAGCAACGGAGAACATTGTTGACCGTCAAATCTGACAGTCAACCCGTCCCACAGGCCAAATTCGTCCGATAATTTGAAAAGTGGGCCAGAGATGTCTTATTTGAAAACTTGGGCCAGAAATGTCACTAACGCTATACTTCGTGCTAAACGAGGGTATTAACCCTTTATTTTAATGGTATTACCAACTACCTATGCTTCTAGAGTTGTATAATAATTAGCTACCTACGCTTCTAGAGGGTCATAATATGAATATAAGAATATGACGGAGATGAATGGCATCATGTAGACCATTGTTAACGTGTATAATATAGGTCCACTGTTAATTGACTCCTATAATAGTCCAAAAACTCTTTTCTAATGCTAGGTAAGTGTGGAAAATGAATTTGATCGGATCTATACAAGGAGAGTGTGACTACTTAATCAATAGATGTACTTACGGTGTATAATAGCTATTTAAAAAAAAAACCTATATACAGTGATACCAATTAGGAGGAAAATAAAGTTAATAGTAAGAAGGTAAAAACTAGTGCCATCGGTTCAATAATACTAAGGACAATACATCTACCCATAAAAACAGAATCAATCCAAGTTATCAGTTTATGAAATTCGCTTCGAATTTAGTGAATTCTGTCTTGACAATGCCTCCTTAAGTGCATACAATAACTGCTAGAGGCATGATGATGAATTTGTTATGATATCGTTTTATATGTTTTTTTGGAATACAATTTGTGTCAAGTCAAGCGTGACAAATTATTAGATGATGAAGTGTGAAGAGTGATCTCATAGTGATACATTACTGGATTTATTTAACTGGTGGATTTATTACATGATGAAGCGTGACTATCAGAATCGCTTCGGTTGGAGGTACGAAGACTTCGAAATGGGTGGCGAAAGATGCAGCTGACTCAAAGGGTGGAATTCAAATCTTTTGGGAACCATCTCAATACACGCTGATTGATGTTTGTGAATGTACCTATTCCTTCATTGTTAGGCTTCAGTCAGTTGATGCTAATAAAATTTTTGTTCTGATGGTGGTGTATGGACCGCAAGAAAAGGATGATAAACTGGCTTTCATCAATGATCTGAACCTGGTGTGCCAAAGGTACACAAAATCTTTATGTATTATAGGTGATTGAAACCTAGTTCGCTCTCATGAGGATTACAGAGGAGGCCCTAGAAACAATCAAGTAATGGCTGAGTTCAACAACCTTATCACATCAAATAACCTGAGTGACCTTCCCTTAAAAGGTGCACTGTTTACATGGAGCAATGGAGGCAGCCCAAGCATCTTTGTCCCATATTGACAAAGCATTAGTGAACCCCAGTTTTGAAGAAGAGGTTGAACCAGGGCCATTGGTAGCACTTCAGAGGGTAGAATCAGATCATAATCCTATTGTGCTTCAGTGGGGGAGCTCTAGAGAGATTAAATCCACCGTGGATTGGATCAGGACTCTTGTTTAAATGTAGCCAAAAATGGAGGGTTACGAAACAACTAATTAAAGATTAGAATGTAGAATGTTTTGGCAGAATTGACAGGAAAGTGCCAGATTTGTTAATGCATATCAAAATCATCGACAGAATGGAAGAACAAGGTCCCATTGGGCGAGAGTTTACACATTGAGAGAAGTAGACTGCAGAGCGAGCTGGATAAAGTGCTCCTTTTGGAGGAGATTTCATAGCGCCAGAAGTCTCGAGCCCTGTGGCTTAAGGGTGGGGACTTTTACATCGCCTATTTCCACCTCATGACGAAGAGCAATAGTAGAAGAAATTGTGTGAAGAACTTGAAGATTGGAGGAAGGACAGTCGAGATTAAGGGGCAGCTTAAACTTGCTTTTGTCAACCATTTTCATGAAAGATTCACATGAGAGGGAGGCGGCAGGCCCTTTCCGGCTGAGTTCAAGGTGGGATTGATTAATCAGGAAGAAAATTTCCAGTTGACAGCCCCTTTCACAGAAGCTGAAGTTTGGAAGGCAATTTGCTCTTGCAATGGGGTTTCAATCTTGTCATCCTTACAAACCCATTCTAACCTCTATGGGCTTGCCATAAGGCACCATCAAACAGAACCAAAATGCCTTCTAGTGGACATATCCCATCTTGCTCCATGTGGGATCGGCAATGGCCTGCCTCAGAGGGATGCTCAACAGTAGGACGCCCTTGCTTTAAAGTGAGTATGGATGAGGATGCTCTCTCAACCTAATCTAGGAATTGCCTATCTAAAGAAGGCCCGAGGTACAGAATATGCTCATGAACTGCCAACAACGTGCCTTCCATAACCACCAACATAGGAATATGACTTTCAAAATCTCTGAACTAAGCAAATGAGAAGAGAAAAACAAGACTTTCCTACACAAATCGGGGGGAAGAGCAGCCAACTTTGCATACAAAGTGCCCAATTCAACACGAAACCAAAGTTCCCTTGCAACCCAATAGAGAAAAAAGAAATGCATGATTGTTTCATGACCATCCGACCAAATTGAACAAGTGTTATCCATTACTAAATTCTTACTTTGTAAAAATGAGCACGCAAGCAGAAAACCTCTAACCAGCTGCCAACAAAAGAATCTTAATTTTGCCGGCAAGGGAAAATGCCATAAGAATTTTTAAAATTTCCAAAACCTGTAATCAAATGGCAAGTCATCTGGTAGATGAATAGCATTAAGTTCTGAAGAATGCAATTACCCAGTTTTAACATAATATTCCCCTGAAGATGAGTAGTGTCGGATCAATTTATTAGGAACATGAAAAGGGGGTGGGGGAATGCAGGAGATAGCCGCCACCAATGATGGGGTGAACAAGGTATGTAGAAGGTCAATTTTCCATAACCCCGAAGTGCAGCAAATCAAATAAAACACCAGATGACCCGGTACTAACACCCTAGGAAGATCCTTCCCTTGGATTATTTCTTCCAATGACCATGAAGGTAGGTTACTAGTTGTAGCTTCCATGAAAGAGAATGGGGTGACACTTTGTGCGATAAATTCTTATGATAGTGGACTCCAGATTTTTCCAACCGCTCCATACCTGCTTGCCCAAGAAAGCAATGTTAAATCGGTTAAAATCACAGAATCCACCAAGAAAATTTACTATGACAAGCTTCCGACCAAGAAGTGCAATGAATCCCATCTTTCTTATCCTAATCCGCCCACCAGAACCTAGAAAGTTGACCATTCAACATGCTACATAAATCTGTAGGCAATATAAAAGACGACATCACATAGATAGTGGAAGTATAACCAATAGCCTTAATAAAAGTCTCCTTAGTCGCAAGTGACATAGCAGGGGTTTTCCAAGAACGAATATGAGTATCGAGATAAGGTCTTTGAACATTGCAACTGGACTAGATGACCGAGATACTTATCTTGTTAAGAGGTCAAAGAGACACCAAGGAAGGAGCTAATGTGATCCCTCAAGATCATGCATATTCCCTCTAACAAAGATGGATGATTTCTGCATATTCACCCTCTCATTTGCTCAAATTTCTCAAGCAATTATAAAGGTTATCTCATTCTAGGAAAGAGGCACATATGAAAAGATATGAATTGTCGGCAAAAAACAAA